ATAATTGGAAAATCCCATTTGTCCGGGTTTGTCCATGGAAAAATCCCAAATCCCAAACGTTTGTGCGGCATGTATATTTGTAGCCTGGGTAGCATTTTAATCATCATATAATTACAAAGTGAGATGGCTAAATCACCCGGATGATTAAAAATCACCGGGTGATTAAAAATGCTATTCAAGATATCACTCGAAGCGTAAAACAGGTTTAGAACAAAGAAAATTAATCTGAAATATAAAAATTTTATTAAAAAGCACGTTTTAACTAGTAAAATTGAACTAGATTTCCAGAAATTTGTAAATTTATTTATTATTTAAAATAAAATCATGTTATTAAATAAAATATTGTTATTCAAATTTAATTGGATTATCATCCTCATTATCAATATCGACATCACTTTCAACTTCTAACTCTTCATTTTTCATTTTTAAAATTTTATCAATATTTTGAAACACAGTCTTATTTTTTTTATGATTGTAACCAAAAATACTATTATCTTTCCAAATAGAAAACTGCATCATGTTAAAGAAATTGAAAACAATATCATCGTTGTAAAAAATTTTGTAATTGTAAAGATCGTTAGAGAACACATAGCAAGGGACTCCGTCAACGTTACTTCCTTTAGTTTGATCTTTGGTTTTATCACCGTAAGAGTATTGAAACATATAACCTTTTGGGATATCAATAATTTTATTGTCTTTTATGAATATAACCCAAATATTTCCTGCAACCCATTTCTCAAAAACAATATAAACTCCATCATTTTTGTTTTTGAAAATACGACGACCTTCTTTGGCAGATTTTTTCAAGGAGATGGTTCCAGATTTTGACATATCTTCTGTTTTCAGATAACTTTTTTTATTACGATATTTTTTTTTTAGTTTTGCTTTCATTTTTTTTTAAGAAACTTAAGAAACAAAATATATATACATGATTGTTTTATATTTTTTTTAGTTTTAATCATGTTAAGTATTTTTTACTTTCTTTTATATTTTATTACTATGAAACTAGATTCAGTAATCCGATAGTGATGCATGATGACTCCTGTGAATATAAACACAGATTGACAGTAGAAATAGCATGATGAGCGACTTTGACCACTATTAAATAATTATAAATAAATATATGAAAAAGAAAATTCGTCATTTTTGTTATGTGATTTTTCGTTACTTTCATCAAAACGCAGAACGTCTAACCGAAATGAAACGTAAAAACGCATTTTCTCCATTAATTTTCATCTGTTTGAGCTGAAATTTCACAGGCAAATAATTGAATATTACATGCAACTTTCTTATTATTTACGATTTGCATGCTTCATTTGAAGAAAGTTATCTTATGATCAATTTAATTCTGTCGGAAATTTTGCGAAAACGTACGAGCGAATAGAAGACAAAAACGTGAATATCTCTGTGAATATATCTCTCTTTCTCATAAAAATTGATATTCAGATAGTCTGATATCCCATCCACAAGTTTACTTAGAAGCGTAAAGTTGGATTTGTTGTGAGAAAGTTGTCAAAAATCATGTTGAAGTGTGGGTTATTGTGCCGGAAAAACTCAAAAGGATGGACGTTTTAGTCTAAGCGATTGTCCTATATTGTTATTTAAGTCTTGATGATCAGCAGATTATAAATAATATAAAGAGTGAATTTCTTGGCTCTTCTTTAGTTGTTCATTATATTTTTGGTAAAATGTCAAAATGTAGTCGGCATGAAATTTGGAATTATTTTAATATTAGTTTGGATAAAAAACAGCTTGTTTGTAAAAATTGTACTCAATCATATGCTTTTAATCGATCAGTTATTACAGGAATGAAAAAAACATTACAAAAATTTTCATAGTGAAATTTTTAATGAAATTTCACAAAAACAAATTGAAAATAGAGAAGAGAAAAATCAAGATGAAATACAGAATATTGAACAGAATGTTGTAAAATGTAAATATAAAATTATTTGCGACGGTACAGAATTTTTAGTTATAGCAAAAAAACTTGTAATTGAAGTGATTGAGTAGATTTTTACGGAAATGTGTAATACAAATAGAAAATAGTGATAAGAGAAAGAATAAAACTAAATATAATAACGAGAATAGTCAAAATAAATTTTTGTTTGTTTCGGATAAAATATAAGATTTTTAATAAAAATATTAAACCTAACATATTCAGAAAATAATTTGAATTCTTATTTGACAATCTTTCTATTTATATTCAATTAATTACTAAATTAGATTTCCGCATTTGGTAATATTTATTTATATAAATAGTTATGGTAATTTGTAAAAAAATAGCAAAAATGTATTTATCAAAACAAAAACTACAATTGTTGGAACTTAAATTTTATCGAAAATATTCATCCGATATTTCGTTAGAAGAAAAAAAGAATTGATTGAATGGATAAAAAAAGAAAATATGAATGAATTTGAAGAGTATTTTCAAATAAATTTTCTTCATATTTTCAATTTAGAATCGTATCTAAAACTGTACAAAAACAATTTTAGTCTTAAAGAAGAAATGTGGTAAATAGTTTTTTTCTTAATTGGAGATATTGAATGTATTTTTGATTTGATTTGTAGGGTATTTGGAAATAATTTTATTACAATTATTTCTGAAGATGATTATAGAAAACAGTTTCATAATAGGGAATCGCCCGCTTTTGTTGTCAAAGAATTTGTTAGAAAAGAATGAGATATGATATTTTACGATCTTTACGATAAAAGAAAATTTTTATTTTTTATAACGGAATTTGAAGTTGGTGAATGGAGAAAGAATTTTGGTAAATTAATTTGGGGTAATGATGAAAAAATTTACAGGGAAAAGATGGGTTGGAGATTGAGAAATGCTACTATTTTAAACTTGAAAAAGAAGAAAGAAAGTGAAATTGATACAATTTTAAATGATAACTTAAACAAATTAAATTAATGTTTTAAACAATGATTTTATAATAAATATTTATTTTTTATATTTTTAAAAGTATATAAACCTCGTAATTTTACCTTTGGTAGGATTAATTTTAAATTTTGTAAAAAATGGTTGCAGTAAAACCAACTAGATTTCTACATACTATGTCAACTGTTTTTTATTGTATCCCATGTTTAGAAAGTTACAAGTGTAAGAAAAACCCTAACGAAAAAGAAAAACAAGCATGAGAAGAGTATGCGAATACTGGGGTTGTTCCAGAATGTGGATTATGTAAACGAAATCATTGGTGTTGTAAGGATAATAGTTGTAAAAACTGTTGCAAGTTGCGAGAATGTAATGATATTGTTTGTTCAAATTGTGTTGAAAAGAACATATGTTGCAGACGTGTTTTACCAAAAACACAAGAGAAGTTTAACACGTTAGAAGGATTGGGAGTAACGTTTTGCTCGGGTCAATACAAACCAACTACTAATGAACAATTCCACGAGCAAGTATATTTCCAATTCAAGGACTGTCAAACTGTATCATCCGCAAAAAAAATTTTTGGTCAGTGATTCGAAACAAAATCTTTCTTACAGTACCAAACTATATGGAAGATATGAGCTTCACAAGAAGAAATGTCGGTGTAGTTACAAGAATCTTGATGAGTTTTGTGATGCATGTGATGAGAATTGTAAACCTTTGAGAAAGTGGGCATGATGGGTTGATAAAGACAGAAATTGATTACCAGATAATGTCGTCGGTCCTTTTGTGTTCGGTATTTATTGGGATCTTTTGGCTTCTAAGGAGTTTTCCAGTGCTGTTGATGAGTTGGAAGAGAAAAAGATAAAAGAATTTGAAGCGATAATCGAAGGAAATAATAAGCTTTTAGAGGGATCTACACCGTTACAAGTGTTTAAATATAATAAAGATAGTGTTCGATATTCTAACAATTACATTAGTATGAAAGCAATTTATATGGATTTGGAGAAGGAAAGAAAGAAAAAAGTTCAAAGATTCTGGCGACCCATAGTTTTTTATCTGTTTGGACCAGGTGGAAGCAGCAAATCTGGATTGGTACAAGAGCTTTTTAAGAATGAATTCTATGATAAACATCAGAGATCGAATTGGTAGAATGAGTATGATGGTCAGGAAATTGTGTTCTTGGATGAGTTTTACACCAAGATTGAGTGGAATAATATGATGAATTTGCTAAATGATACAAGTTGTAGTGTAGAAATTAAACATGGTGGGTTTGCTCTATTTTTTGCAAAATACATATTCATGACGACTACAAAAAATCCTCTTGAAGCATATAATTTCAACAATCGAGGTGGAAATGAGGATGATAACAAATGTGATTTTTGACAATTTGGTCGTCGTTTGGATTTTGTGATTGAGTTTGGTGGGGTTTGGCATGATGATATTAGTGAGCGCACCATGACAATCACATTTCATCAATGTGAGTTGGAAGGGATAAATTGGGGTACCAAGGAGCAATTTCGTAGCATGAATTGGGACATCAAGTATAGAAACGGTTGCAATACTCCAACAGAAGTTATAGAAAAGAGCAAGATTGTTAACAAGGAAATCGAAGGAGAGCATATTATGGTTGGTCACATGGTATATTGGCGTCGCAAGTTTTCAGAGTTTAAGCATCGTTATTTGCAGGATTATCTGATGAGTCGAGAGCTTTTTGATTATCGAATGGAATGTGAATCACAATCACAACAAATTATTTCACAAAATTTAATAGAAAATACAGATCCTCAAATTGAATCTAGCACTTCACATAAATGAAAAAATGTTGATAATTTGGTTGTTACTACAGATATTTGTAATGAAAATTCTAATAAAAAAGCACGTTTTGACTAGTAAAATTGTTAAAGAAAAAATCAAAATTACCAAATATGGATTCCACATTTGGTAATTTCCAAATGTGATATCTAATTTTGTTCGTATTAAATCTTTATAAATTTGTATTATTTCCAGATTAAAAAAATAAAAAATGTCTTCCGTTGAATTTTGTAAATTAAAAAAAATCATAAAACAACAACGAGACAAGGAAATGAAAAAAAAATTTCCTGATTGTATTTTTTTCAAAAGATTGATGAAAGAGATGAAATCGTGTATGATTTTATTGAGAAAAACATTAAACAGCTTGAACTTTATAAGTCGTTTTTTATCGATGGTCTTTCTCAAGAAAAAGTTGCTCAAGAAATTTAGGAAAAGATGAAGCAAGAGTATATTTTACGTGCTTTTAACTGGTGTCTTCTCTATAAATTTCTTGTCGATGATATGAATGTTCAGAAGATTTTCAGAGCGATGCATGCTCTATCTGTTCTTAATCCTCTAATTTTTTTAAAGTTATTGGAGAGATTTATTAAATCTTTAACCGATTTTAAAGAGGATTTATGCTTGAAAAATTAATAAATTAGTGTATTTATTTTATTTTATTTATTTTTATTTTTATTTTATATGGAAATGATTAACAAAAAAATATTATAAAAATGTGTATTTTATTCTATTCTATTTAATAAAGATGTTTTCACTTCTTCCTTACGAGATGATGATTATTATTTTTAAATTTTTCCCTTTTAAAGATCAATGTAATTTCTAAAACATTTAATGATATGTTCGATTTAATGTATTCAAAAAGTGTTCAAGAAGTTATTTTTCCAAAGATTAAGTTAACTGATATAATCCAGGATCTATCTCAATATTGTTTATATATAAACACTTTTAATCCAATTTCCAATGAACAGAAGTTAGTTTTTTACAAGGAAATTAAGAAAGTGGATAGCTGGTGAATCTGGTTTAAGGACAATAAAAGACGCTTAATTCATCATGAAAATAATGGTGTTGTATACTCTTGATTGGGAAAAAACGAATCCAAAATCAGTTCAAGATGCAGATTATACCCATTTAAGAAGAATTT